CACCCAGGTGGAGCACGACGTTCAAGGAGTCGATTGCCAACATTGGCCATGTGCTGCTGGTGCTCATGCCGTGGCGAGACCCTGTTCCCTTGACACGCGCGTGGTGTTTGTGGGAGATCTTCTGTGGCATTAGCAACGAAGGCACAGAGGTCACCATCCAACTACCCAACAGCGAAGAACAGGCGCTCGAAAACGCCATTCGCGATGACTATAAAGCAGTGACCGACACGCTGGTGCGCGTGCAGGCAGAGCGAGCCGACGCCTTCAACCCGCACGACAAACACATGATCTTCACAGCGATCGAGTCGTGGGCGGGCGGCTTCGGCGCAGTCAACCAAGCCGTGAAGGACCAGCTGCGCGCGTGGTGCCTGCAAAAGGCGGTGGGTGCCGTCGAAGCCATGCGAGCACGAGGCGAGGACAGCACTGACGCCTTCGCGGGGTTGTGCGGCCAGGTTGGGCTGGTGCTGTACCAGTTTGGCGAGCACAATCGCGCCGTTGCCTACTACGAGACAGCGCTGGCAGTTTACCTCCGCACCGAAGGGGAGAAGGGGAGGAACGTGGCGGCGCTGTACAACAACCTCGGCATCGCGTACAAGAACAAGGGCGAGTACGACAAGGCCATATACTTTTACGAGAAGGACCTCGCCATCACGGTGGAGACAGTGGGGGAGAAGCACCCGAGCACAGCGAACACGTACGGCAACCTCGGCCTCGCCTACTACAGCAAGGGCGAGTACGACAAGGCGATTGCGTACCACGAGAAGGCCCTCGCCGTCTTCGTGGAGACGCTGGGCGAGAAGCACCCAAGCACAGCGAGCACCTTCAACAACCTCGGCCTTGCATACGGTAGCAAGGGCGACTACGACAGAGCGATTGCGTTTTACGAGAAGGACCTCGCCATCACGGTGGAGACGCTGGGTGAGAAGCACCCGAGCACAGCACGGACGTACAACAACCTCGGCGAAGCATACCGCCACAAGGGCGAGTACGACAGAGCGATTGCGTTTTATGAGAAGGACCTCGCCGTCACGGTGGAGACGCTGGGTGAGAAGCACCCGAGCACAGCGAACACGTACAACAACCTCGGCAACGCATACGACAACAAGGGCGAGTACGACAGAGCGATCGCGTTTTATGAGAAGGCCCTCGCCATCAGGGTGGAGGCGTTGGGTGAGAAGCACCCGAGCACAGCGAGCACGTACGGCAACCTCGGCATCGCCTACAAGAACAAGGGCGAGTTTGACAAGGCGATTGAGCTGTACCAGAAGGACCTCGCCATCAAGGCGGAGACGCTGGGTGAGAAGCACCCCAGCACAGCACAGACGTACTTCAACATTGGCCTGCTGCACGACAAGCGCGGGGACAAGGAGCAGGCCTGCGCCTACATGCAGCAGGCGCTCAACGTGTTTACAGCCACGCTCGGGCCAGACCACCCAAACACCCGCAAGGCAGAGCGCAATCTGCGGCGCATTCGTGGTGGTGCTGTGACCAGGCAGCACACATCCACGCAACACGTGTCAGAGTCTCAACTTCAGCAGCAACACGTGCTTGCTCATCGCAACCTTCTTCTTCGGTTCATCTCTTCTGCTGTCGTGTACCAGTCGTCTGCTCCACAACGCAACCTGCTCATGCGGTTTCTCGGTGCAGTTGCACAGGTTCACGCTGAGGCAAGACGCCCAGCAAACACGGGCAGCGACGGTGAAGACAAGAAGACAGGGACTGGGCACGATTGTCCTCGTGGCTGCTCTGCACCAGCAAGAGCGTTGTACAAGGACGCTTGCAAGTGCCCAAATGAGCCACTGGCCGGCTGGCTGCGGAAGCGTGGGCGACGGAGGGCCGTCTTTCGCCCGTGCTGGTGCAAGCTTGACGACGACGACCACCTCGCGTACGGCAAGTCCGCTTCAGGCACGGCCAAGCGGCGCATCCCCCTTTCCAGCGTGCAGTCAGCTGAGCTCGCCCATGGTGGCGAGGAGCTGCACGTTGCTGTTCCTGGCCGCACCTTCGTCTTCCGCCTGCACGCGCGCTCTGACACCTCGCTCGCTGACTGGTGCACTGCCATCAACAGCCGGATCAACGCCACCACTTGACTGTGTGCTGTGTGTGTGTGTGTGTGTGTGTGTGTGTGTGTGTGTGTGTGTGTGTGTGTGTGCTTGTGTTTGCTGGTTTGCTGGTTGGTCACTTTGCTCCTGTCTTTCCTTCACGTGCTTGCTTGCCACTTGCTTTTACTTGCTTGCCGCTTGCTTGTTTGACACTTTAGTAAACTCATCACGCAATCCAACTGCTGACAAGCAACGAGCATACACCCTACCACGCCACACGTCAACCTCTTCCACCCCCACGTCCACGCCGGCACGCCCGCCTTGCGCATCAGCAGCTCCAGGGTGCGGCCGGTGGAAAAGTGGCTCCGTCAGCACGTTGGACTGCAACAGTATCTGCAGGCAGCGGGTTCGGCCGTTCAGCGTGCACGACGCCCAGCAGCCTCGTCGGAGGGCTGGGTCGCCAGCCTGTACTCGCTGTCCGTCCCCGACCGTGCGGAACAGCACGTCGTCGCTGCACGCCCACGCCAATCGAGAACGCCGGCTTGAGCGCGTGGATGCGCCCAACTCTCGTGCTGCACCTCCTCCACCGCCTCCGTCCTCGGGATTCGGGTTGTCCGTCCCCAGCGACAGGTCCCACCATACAAAGGGCTGCAGCGACATCAGGAACATGAAGAGGTTCGCGTTTCGGCAGCGTGCTTCCGCAGTCTTGTCTCCACGTCGGTCTTTCTGCGCACTGTGCCCACGAACACGGCGGCAATCCCCGACAGCAGCTGCAGCTTCGTCTCGAACGGTGCCTGCAGCGTCTTCTCGCTGACGACCACGTGCGTGTCCTTCCGACGAGAAGTTAGAGCACGTCTCCCGCGTGTGGGGCACACCCGTCCGTCCGCGCAAAACAATCGTGTTGACGGTGTTGTCGGGCTGTAACGTGCGCTTGAGGACCCGGCGGCTCCCACACGTGCCTGCCGGGGGTCGGCGAGCGACCTGAACCCAAACGGCCGTCGGCGGCGGTGGGTCGATGGTGAGCCCAACATCCCCGTTCACGCATCCCGACAAATGTGCTTGCTCTTGATGGCTGTTGGTGCTGGGGAGCGGGGGAGGAAACGACACCACGATGATGGATGGGTAAATGGCTCGGCGTGGATGTGGAGACGTTGTGGCAACGGAGCATGTCAGCTGAACGCACTTTTCGACATAGATGACCTGCAATACCCCCAAAGCGAGGAGAGATGGTTGCCTGTTGGACAGGCGAAGAGACGGGTGAGTGGTGGACGAGGAGCACGACAAGTCCACACGGGGACCTCAGGGTAACCCACAAACAAGAGCGCAAACACACGCACACACACATGCATGAACTCACGGTCGATGGAGATGTCTGTGTCGGTGTGAACAGAATGTAGCCACTCGTCCAACATGCAGCAGAGGAACAAAGTGGGAAATGTGCCCTGCAAGTTTGTTTGCGTTTTTTTTTTTTTTTTTTTGATGTAAAACTTTAATGGTGTCGCTTGCCCCGGTGGTGGGGTTGCCCGCAAGCGACACGTCGTGGTTGCCAGATCAGTTGGAGAAGGCAGAAAGCATAAGTAGAAGAAAGCACAAGAGCACAAGACGGCAGCAGAGCCCGCGGCACCGTTGCGCGATACGCAAACAAAACGAATTAAATCACACGTGCACACGACCCGAGTCCGCTTCGAAGTGGGGGGAAGCATTCGTATTAATAGGTGGGTCACACGTCGCGACCCCAGGGCCGGCTGGAGGGGTACCCACTATCGAACTAGTGGGTGGGTGCTAACGCCGCTGCCGCCGGCTGCGAGACGGCGCGTCTGCCGCCCGGCCCTTCCCCGTCGACCGTATCGGTGGCGCTGCGGCCGGCCTCCGAGGGTTGGGTCGCGGGTTGGCGGGTCCGACGGCTTCCGCAGTCGGGGCGTCCGCTGTGCCGTGGCTGTAGTTGTTGTTGTTGTTGTTGTTGTGGTTGTTGTTGTTGTTGTTGTTGTTGGTGTGGTTGTTGTTGTTGTTGTTGTTGTTGTTGTTGTTGTGGTTGTTGTTGTTGTTGTTGTTGTTGTGGTTGTTGTTGTTGTGGTTGTTGTTGTTGTTGTGGTGGTGGCGGTGGTGGTGTGGCGGCGGTTGTCTGCCTTTGTCGTCTCTTTCTGCGTCCGTCTCCGCGGCGAGGCGGTCGGTTGCGTTGCGCCCGCTGACCTCTGGCGGCCGTGGCCCAGGTGTTGGTGTTGCGTTCGGTAGAAAACATGGAGTGTGTTTGGACGTCCGCGGCGGCGCCGCCGCCCTTGCCGTAGCGACACGTCATGGTGGCTTCGTGGCTGCGCTTCTGGAAGGCGATGGATAGGCGTTGGAGGGCGTAGGCGTAGTAGCTGGGTGTTGCGTGGTTGTGTACGTGTACTGGAAGGTCGGCGTTGTAGACGACGCGTTTGATAAAGCGGACGAAGAACTCGCCCAGGCGACCCGTGCCGTTTTCGATGGCCAGGGGGAAGAAGGTCCTGTCGTTCTGCCTCATGAGTTTGTCGTACTTTTTCTTCTTGGTATTCTCGGCGCACTGCGCGTTCCAGCCGCCCGTTGAGGATGCCTTGGCGAGGTGGCTCATCTGGGCGACGTCATGTTTGCGTTTGCTTGCTTGCTTGCTTGAAGAAAGCAAATTTGCTGTGCTTGGGATGTGATTGCCAATCTGCACACACATACACACACACACACACACTCACACACACACACACATGCCCTTCCTTTCCTGCTGACAGGCTACAGAGCGATAAGCAATGGGAACCGTTGTAATGTAACAAGAGAAACAAAAGGCATGTGCAACAAGCGAAATAGAAGCATGAAAAAAGAAGCAAGCATGTAAGCAAGCAAGCAAGGAGAGGAAGAAGCAGGCAAACAAGCAAGCACAAAGAAGAGCACCCCTACTATCCCTCATGCACGACACACACTCACAATACTGCATCAGCTCAACGTCTCAACACGATAAGGAACTCACACCGCGTCCCTCAAACCGCGTCCCTCAAACCGCGTCACTCAAACAACACTCGTCAGCGCAACTCTGTCTCACGTCACTTCACCAGCGGGTTCTCTGAAAACCCGTGTGGCTCTTCCTCCTCCTCTTCATCATCATCATCATCATCATCATCATCATCATCATCATCATCATCTTCGTCCTCGCTGTCACTGCCCCCCTCTTCACTCTCGTTGCCCATATCGTACGCTGCCTGATCCATCTCTTCCTCCGTCATTGCAGGTGCCGCGGCCGTGTCCTCGTCGGCATCACCCATATCGTACGCTGCCTGATCCATCTCTTCCTCGGTCATCGACTCCCCTGCCCCGCCGTTCGCAGCATCATCGCCAAGATCATACGCAGCCTGGTCCATCTCGTCCTCGGCCGTGCCGCCCTCGTTATCTGCGGCGCCCAGGTCGTATGCAGCGCCGTCAGCAACCTCCTCCATGCCCCGCTGCTGCGCCATCAGCGTGTTGCGGCGGTCTTGCTCGTCCAGCTCATCCGGCGTCATCGTCACAGCCTCGTTGTCGTACGTGGGGAAACGCTCCTCTTCATCCTCATCATCCTCATCACCACCACCAGCACCGCGCCCGTCAGCCGCGGTGGTGTAGTCGTTGGACACGGGACGCAGGCGGCCCTGCGCCACCAGTCGCTCAAACACCTCCGCCGGCATGTGGTCTGGCCGCTGGCCTGCGTTCGGGTCCTGGTAGTATGTGATGTCGTGCTGTGACAGCTTGGCCAGGCGCACAAGCAGTTCTTGGAACGCTGGGCGGGCCTGGCATTGCAGCGGGGGGGGGGGGGAAGCGAAGGATAATTGGAGGGAGGGGGGAGGCGAGTTGGAAGTGAGGTTTGGGGAGAGAACAGGGAGTGGCATAATGCAAATCAGCAGCAGAACAGAGAGAAGGGGTGACACGGGTGGGAGCCGTGTGAACGAGCAACCCCCCAAAAAAACAAACACAAAACCCTCACGTGCGCATGTAAACGCGTGCACGTGTTTATGTGCTCCTTACGTTTTCCTCATCAAGCCAGCAGGCGTTCATGACGGCGTACAGGGCATCCGAGCACTCATCCGGCTGCTGTAAGCGCAGACCCCGGTCAAGCTCCTCCAACACCTTGTCGTTGCCGACAAGCGGGAATGGCTGCAGGAGGGGCCGGGGGGAGGGAGGAGGGTTACGCGGGTAGAGTATCATGGTGACGCGGTGAAATGAGCATTGTTGTTGTTGTTGTTGTTGTTGTTGTTGTTGTTGTTGTCGTTGTTGTTGTTGTTGTTGTTGTTGTTGTTGTTGGTGGTGGTGGTGATGATGATGATGATGATGGTGGTGGTGATGTCGGAACGCGAACGGGTGTACAGACAAGGAGAGATTCGCAAGGAGCAAACATTCATACACACGACGCACCATGCCGCCAAAGTTTGCAATTTCCCAGAGCGTGACGCCAAAGGACCACACATCAGACTTGGCAGTGAAGACGCTGCAGTGGCGGGTGAACGCGAAAGGGAACGGGGGAATGGACAGTGACCTTTGCGTTGTGGAGCAGTGGCGCCATGCAAACTCAAAGCGGAAGCTTTGGTGCACATGTACACACACACACACACGCATACACACACACACACACACGCACACACACACACACACACACACACACACACAAGCGCACACACGCACACGCACACACACACACACACACACAAACACACACACATGCAAACGCACACACAAACACACACATGCACACTTACGTACCCGAGGCGAAGGCACTCTGGTGCCATCCACTTGAAGGCCATCTTGCCCTCTCCTTGCGTGATGTACTCCTCATCAGAGTCAATCCTGATGTCAGGAGGGGAGGGCGTTTGAGTGACATGCAAGACGCGGCGAGAGGGTCAAGAAAGAGGGTGGAAACAGGCACAGGCACAGGCAGAGTTAGAGTCGAACAGACGTGCGTGCAGACAGTCGCACACAGACACAGACACAGACACAGACACACAGACACAGACACAGACACACAGACACAGACACAGACACAGACACACACACACACACACACACAAACTGACTCTCGTGCGAGGCCGAAATCGGAGACTTTGAGGACGGTGCCGGACGAGACGAGGATGTTGCGCGCAGCCAAGTCACGATGCACAATCTGATGTGGTATGAGGGGAAAGGGGGCATGTTCGTGGCAGCGGGGACAGGCGCAAGGCATCGAGAGTGAGAAGAGCGTGAAGGAAATCAACACACGCACGCACACACACACACACACACACACACACACAGACACAGACACACAGACACACAGACACACACAGACACACAGACACACACCCTGTTGTGTTCGAGGAAGGCCATGCCGCTGGCAATCTGTGCGCCAAAGTCGACAAAGTGCGTGTTGTTGAGGAGGGGGCCCCGTCGCTCCGTCGCGCGCTTCGACTGCACGAATGAACGCAGGTCGCCGTGCTCTGCGTACTCAATCACAAGCAGGATCGGGTCGTCGATGGAACACACGCCGACGAGGCTCAGCACGTGCCTGTGGCGGCCGAGCGACTTCATCAACTCCATTTCCTTGAAGAAGTCGTCCTCCTCCTGCGTGCCGTTGGCGTTGCCCTTGAGCTGCTTCACCGCCACCTCCTTTGCAGGAACGCTGTTCCCCATGGTGCCCTTGTCGTCTGAGTGGGCAAGCAGGCCGTGGCTCACCTTGCCAAAGTGGCCCTCGCCAATCACCCGGCCAACCGTGAGCAGGTTGCGGTCAAGCTCCCACTCATCGGGCTTGGTGCGCTCGCGCAGCTCCTTGGAGGGTATGTACACGTCCAGCGCACGCCGGCCCTCCTTGCGAAGAATAAAGAGCGCAACGAGCAGCACAATCAGCAGCAGGAGACCAGCACCAACGCCGGCGCCGGCGACGACGCTGCTGGCGGAGGAGGATGACTCGCCCAGCTGACACTTGCCATCAATGACGGGCGAGGAGCAGACCGTGCCGCAAAAGTCGGCTGTGCACGTGCACTCAATCTGCGTGCCGTTGATGCTGGTACACTGCCCGCCGTTCTTGCACGTGCTCGCTGTGCACAGGTCGATAAACACGCACTCGCCAGGGATGGTGCCGGTGCACGTGCCGCCAACGCGAACCTGCGTTGCCGGGTCGCACTGCTGGCACTGCTGGCACACGCGGTCGGATGTGGGGGTGGCGCCAACGGCAATGTACTCGTTGCTGCCACAGGTGGACAGCTGCATGCACTCTCGGTCGCTGAGGGCGGTCGCTGGCACCATTTCAAATTGCGCGGCACTGCACGTGGTGAGCGGCATGCACGTGCCAACGCCGCCGACGTCTGCCCGGTAGAAGCCATCGTTGCATAAACTGCATGGGCGTGTACATTTGGGGGAAGGGGAGGGGGTGTTTGATGATGATTTGTTGGGGGGGGGGGGAGGAGGAATATGGGTTATTCAGCGTGAGAGAAACACACGAACGGTTGGCTTCCATGGCGTCACCAATCCACACACGCACACACACACACACACACACACACACACACACACACACACACACACAGACAGACAGACAGACAGACAGAAAACAGACACAGACACACGCAATCCCAGAGACCCAACAAATAAACGCACACACACACACACACAGATGTATGCCGTCACGTACTCGCAACTGTCGCTGCTGCAGCTGAAGCAGTCGTCTGGGCACTGCACACATGTGCCGGCGGTCGGGTTTGTGTATGTGCCGTTGGTGCACGTGTCAACACAGAGCACGGGCGCAGATGTGCCCTCCACCACGTAGAAGTCATCGTTGCACTCGATGCACCCGAGCGCATTGCATCGCGCGCACTGCAGTGCGAAGTGGACGGGGGGGGGTTGTGTTTGAGATAGTGTTTAGTCATGGGATGGGCAGTGGTGCGCACGTGAGACAACAGCGAAACCGCGAAAGAAACGCGCGCAAAAAAGGCGGACACGCACCATCTCGCACTCTTGCACAATGTGCAGAGACTGCCACAGCGAATCACGGGTGTGCGCACACATACATACATACACACACACGCACACACACACACGCACATACAACACACACACACACACACACACACACACACACACACACACACACACACACACACACACACACACACACACACACACACGCACAGCAACACCACCAACAACAGTGTCACATTCAGACGCTGTTGACAAGCGACTCACCTCCGGATCGCACTGTACGCAGACGCTCGAAACAGGGAACCAGCCATCGCTGCATGCGTCCAGACACATCGAGTCCTGCAGCACAAGCCCGCCGTCACACGACGTGCACTGGTCATCATCAGGGCCGCTGCACGTGGCACACTGGGCGTTGCACTCCAGGCAGACCAGTTCGTCCTCGTACGTGCCGTTCGGGCACCCGTATGTGTCGTCAATCAGTGTGCCGTTGAAGAGCAGCTTGCCGAGAGGGGGCTTCTGACAGTCCCGGTCGCCCGGTCCCCAGCACGCGCCGCCGCAATGCTGCGCACACTGCACCACTTCTGTAGGGGGTGGAGAGCGAAGAGGGGGACAGGGAGGGAAGCAGACGGGTGTTGCGTGAGTGAACGTGTGCGTGTCTTGAAATGCACAGCCAAACAGAGGCATTTGGACACATACACACACATAAACACAAAGACATACACAGGTACACAGAGACACGCATGTACACACGCACATGCACACACACACATACAGACAGACAGATACACACACATACACAGACACACACAGACAGACGTACACACACGACGTGCGCACCTTTGCGGATTGGGTGGAGGTTGCCGGCGCTCTGGAACGAGGAGATGAGCAGTCCGAAGATGGAGAAGAAAATGCCATTGACACTCGGATCAAGCAGACCGAGAATCTCAATAGTGGCCGTGGCGTTCACGTCCGCCCAGCGCACGGTGTTGTGCAGCACGAGCAGGTAGTTGTCCACAAACTACATCAGGTGTGGGGGGGGGGGGAAGGGAGGGACGGAGGTTGGTTGATTATGGGTGAGTGGCAGACACTGCTGATGATAACGACTACAATGCCACGAGCACACACAAATAACCACACACACACAAATAACCACACACACACACATACACAAATAACCACACACACACACATTCACACACAAATAACCACACACACACACACACACAAAAACACACACACATACACACACACGCACACACAGAATCACTGCCCTGACGGGACTCACGTGCACGTTTGAGTCCTGGGGAAGCGAGCGGAGCCAGCGAAGACCAAGCGTGCCGAGGAAGTAGTTGGTGTGCACGCTGATGACATCCGTTGGCGGCGCGAGCGAGCTCAGCCAGAGCCCTTGGTCGTTCAGGTCAAGCGTGCCATATACATTGGCATCGAATCGCTGAACATTTTCCAAAATGGACACCGTCTCCAGCAGCACGCGGTGCACGCTCAGCTCCCCGCCAACGCGCCTGTCAACAACGATGCAATGCATGTTGTGAGTGAGTGAGTGAGTGAGTGAACGAATGCGTATGCTTGGGTGTTCACGTGTGTCATGTCCTTGCAGCAACACCTGTGCACTCCCCAAACACCAACACGGGCGAACCTGAGCTTTGTGGTTGCCTGTGAGATGAGGGATTCGGGCGCAAGGGCGAGGGATGATTCAACGTTGCTCCCGTATGGACGCAGGTGAACACTACAGGTGTGTGTGTGTATGTGTGTATGTGTGTGTGTGTGTGAGTGTGTGTGTGTGTGTCAGTGTGAGTGTGTGTAAGTGTGTGTGTGAGTGAGTGCACTGTTGGTATTGCAAAGAGAGATGCAAGACTTGTCATCATCAAACAAACCAAAGGCAAATGAATGGCCACCTGATTTCAAAAAAGAGAATCATGCATGCGCTGTTACCTTCCGGGGAGATAGTCGCAGTCTTCCTGCTGAAGCGCCGACAGCTGACACACGTGCGTCAAATCGTACACAGACGTGCACACTGCAACCAGCAGAAGGAGGAGGGGCGGGCGAGGAGCGGAGAGTGAGACGTAGGAAAAGGATGAGTTACGAGCCAATTCAACAGCGCTGCATCACCACACACGCAAACACACACGCACACAACACACACGCACACAACACACACACACACGCACACACACACATACACACACACACACACACACGCACACGCACACACACACACGCACGACGCACACACACACACGCACGACGCACACACACACACGCACGACGTACTCTCCTTCCACAGAGAGACTTGTCGCACCTGTGTAGTCTGGTGCCGGCGTGCACTGGCCGTCGACAGCTGCGTATCCGCTCGGACAGCGCACGCGGCACTCGCCGGCAAACAGGGCGGTGCGGCGATCACATGCTGGTGTGCAGTAGAAGAACGCGTCCTCGTACGTGACAGCACCGGACACGGGGTCGCTGGTGCAGTTGGCAACGGCGACAGCCTCAAAGCCAGCCGCCATTGTGCTGGCAGGGCAGGTGGGCACGCAGGCTCCGGTGGCGGTACGCAAGTGGTTTGCAGCGCACGCGTAGCACTGTGTTGAGCCAGAGGCATCGAAGCAACCGCCCGCACACGTGGAGGGGCAGCAGGTAGCTGCTGTCGCATGGCACCCAGCGGCACCACAGGCACCAGCATCGCACACTACACGGGAAGGGATGGGGTAAGGAGAGAGAGAGAGAGGGGAGGGGGGGGGGTGAGGGTTGAGGGGTAACAAAGCAGCTGGTATGATTGCCGTGATGTGATTGTGGTTTGGGGGGGGGGAGCAGCATGGAGGACTCAACGCAATTGAGCAGAGATGCGGAAATGCAATGCAAATAGATGCAAACAAAGTGCATGGCATAGCGCGCGCACACATCACACATACATACATACATACACACACATCACACGCACACACCACACACACACACCACATAGCATCACATAGCACCAAACACACACACACACACACACACACACACACACACACACACACACACACACACACACACCTGCTTGGCAGCTGGATGGAGCAGCGTCCCAGCAAGCGTCGCACGCCGCGTTACAAAAGGGCCCGCCACACGCCGTGTCCTCCGTAAAGACGACACTCCAGTCGCCCACGTCAATGGTGACCACCCCGCTGCTTGTCTGCGGCGCGGATACGGGCCCGGAGAGCAGCGCGGTGAAGTTTGCGCCTTCCTGGGCAGCCTGGCTGGCGGTCCCAAAGCCAAGGCACGTGGTGGAGAGGGACGCATCGCGCGTGAACCGCACGGATCCGCGCTCAACTGTCTGCAGGGACGTGAGGCTTAGGGCCGTGAAGGGCGGGGAGGCACCGTTGTCGGCCGACACGTCCACGGAGATGGCATACTCGTCATTGTACAGGTACCGCCCGCGCACAACGCCGAGGCTGCCGAAGAAGCTGAGGTCGGTGAAACAGGACGCATCGTGGACCTGTTGGGTTGGCGCACACCCACGTGAGCAATTTAAGGCAGAACCAGAGTATCGAGGCAACAACCACATGCGGGCAGGCAGAGGAGGGGGTGTTGTTGCTCAAGCACACGAGCATGAAAAACGAGCAGACACAGACGCAGACACACAGACACACACACATGCAGACACACACACACAGACACAGACAGAGACAGAGACCGACACACACACACACACACACAGACAGACAGAGACAGACAGACAGACAGACAGACAGACCAGACACAGACACACACACGCGCGCGTCGTACCACAAGGTAGCCGCGGATTTCGGTGAGATCGCTGAGGCTGGCTTGAAGCTGCGCCACAATGCCGCTGAAATCGGCATGGCCACACAGATCGGCCGTAAACTCCAAGCTGCCGTCGAAGATGGTTGTGTTGGCAAGAAGCTCCACATCACTCACAGACGTGGTTTGGGAAATGACCAGAGGTCGGCCAGGCAAGCCTGAACGCCAGGACAGGCAAGGGCATGCAGCGCCAAGCACGTTAGTACAACCGCAAAGACAGCACGGACAACAAGGACAACAAAGACAGCACAGCACGGGTGTGTGTGTGTGTGTGTGTGCACATGCAGGGGAGGCAGACTTGCCTTTGACAAAGGATGCTTCAGCAGTGGCGGCAACAGCAGTGCCAACACTGCCAATGCCAACCAGGACGACAGCCATCGCACAGAGCGCCAGCGCAGCTGGGCGTGCCATCGTGACTGGTTCGTGTGGGTGGGTATGTGTGTGTGTGTGTGTGTGTCGGTGTGAACCAAGGACGCCCCTTTCGCTGTCCTTTCGCTGTTGATCTTCTTCCTTGGTTGGTTGTCAGATGTGGGAAACACAAACAAGGCCAGCCGGCTAACTCGCTCGGCGCGTGAGGCAGAGGGAAAATGCAGGCTGCAGTCGCAGGCGCGCGCACACACACACACACACACACGCTGCTGTGGATGGATGGAGGAAG